ATTAAAGCACGCATTAAGTTAACTTAAAATTAACGCACGCATCCCTCGATGATCCCTCGATGATCCCTCGATGATTGATGTACTATTCATTAGCTATAGAGTAATTAGGTGTAACAGTAAAAGAAGGAAACAGAGAAACAAATGCAAGATTAGTAACATTGAAATGTTTAGGAATTTTCGAAATAAAAAATAAAATCATTTAGAATCTGAAAAACTCTTGAACTAAATAGGTCCTGCAACATGGACTCACATTTTCACACACTTACGCATACTAAAATACTGAAAGCCTTAAATGTGCCTTTTGTTCTAAAATTGTATAATGTAAAATTTTGTAAAGAAAAGTGTTAAAGTGTTAAAGTTCTTCGAACTTTCTTCTAAGTTTCGAGCAATTGGCAATAAAAATAATAGGCTATTACTACAGCCTAATATGTAACAAATTAAAAAATTGACATAAAGATGAGTGCGAGTTAGAACAAAAGGCACTTACAATTTGCGCAAGCTTTTCCACGGCTCGGAATCAATGCAATTTAGATATGAAATCGAGAAGTTATAATCGTAGCTCTTAGCTCGATATCGTTTTCTAAAGTGAATTTCGTGAAAAATATTTAGAAAACGACATCGATTACCGGGTCACACCACGAGGAGGTGGCTACGTTAGAGAGTGACCCACCCTAACTCCAAATCCCTACCACCCTCCATTTGCAAATCGCTCATTTATCGGAAGGATAAATGAGTTCCGACTCTACTTAGCTCATAGGCTCGCATATACAAGTGCTTTACCACAATCCAGTAAAGAACTTGTATCACACACACACACACATACATTATCTTAATACTAATCGCACGTTATCTCACACACATACGCTTAACGTATACTAAACGCCGCACGTTACCTCTCATTCTAAGATTGCACTAAAAAAATTTATGACGAATTCAAAAAGCAAAGGGAAGAAAGTTAGAAGAACTTTCTACTAAAAGAGAAGAAAGTTAGAAGAACTTTCTGTCAAAAAAGGGATCAGTATTTTTCGCCAAGCGAACCTTGCTTTCCATGGGTCAAAGGGTAGTCCATAGTGGCTTACGTGAACCACGACGGCAAAGATGAACCGAAGATACCTTTGGCAAGAACGAGTGACACACCCCAGTTGGCGGAGGGTTTCCCATTTCTGACGCGCGTGCGACTTATACAGAGGACACCCTTACCGTGATGCCCCTTGGCAGTATGGTGGCAGATCGGGGAGGCACATCATGCTATGAGAGGTGCTCCCCCCGACCGGCCCCGCCGGGCAAAGAATGTCCCTCGCGCTACACCGGCACTTGCAGCTCACCTCTACCGCGTGTTCACAGCGCTATGAACCCCCAATGATCCACTTGGGCGCAGAACGATTGGCAAAAAATACGTGGGTATACTACAAGCTAACGCGTACAAAGTTTGAGAATTGAGAAAATAAGTGCAATTTAGAATGGATAGGCACTTACAAGGACTCACCCGCCCTGCTTACGAGCACACTTAACTTAAAATTGACGCTCGCATAAAATCAACTTAGAATTAACGCACGCATAAAATTAGCATAAAACTAACGCACGCATAAAATTAGCTTAAAACTAACGCACGCATCCCACGATGATCCCTCGATGGATGTCTTCAATGATGACCTATTCATTACCTACAGAGTAATTAGTCGTAACAATAATGAGAGGAAACAGATAAGCAAATGCAATATTAGTAACATTATAATGATTAGACATGCACAATTTATGATAACACGCAAAATTCATATTAACATTTTCGGAATAAAAAACTCGAGTCCACTCAATAGAAATACGCCTGTAAAATATACAATATACTTGACAAATATATAATTACTTAATTAAAATAACAACCTGAAACATACAATTACAATTAAGACGCATATGAATAAATAAATCTTACATAAAATTAAAACCTGAAACATACAAAAAGTAATTAGAACAAATATGAAACATACTACAATTCAAAAAGCCCTAAATGTGTCTTTTGTTCTAAAATTGCGCTCGTATAATGTAAAAGGTAGTAAAAGAAAGTTGGAAGAACTTTCTTTTAAGTTTAAAGCAATTGATAATAAAAATGATAGGTTACTACCACAAACTAATATCTAACAAGTTAAAAAATTATCGTTAAGATGAGTGCAAGTTAGAACAAAAGGCACTTACAATTTGCGCAAGCTTTTCGCCACATGTGACGAAAAACCTGCGCCCGAGCCCACCCTTCCTCCCACAGCTCGGAATTAATGCAATTTAGATATGAAATCGAGAAGTTATAATCGTAGCTCTTAGCTCGATATCGTTTTCTAAAGTGAATTTCGTGAAAAATATTTAGAAAACGACATCGATTACCGAGTCACACCACGAGGAGGTGGCTACGTTAAAGAGTAATCCACCCTAACTCCAAATCCCTACCACCCTCCAATTGCAATACCTCATTTATCAGAAGGATAAATGAGTTCTGTCTCTAGTTAGCTCATAGGCTCGCATATACAAATTAAGATTAATCAGCGATAAAAAAATTTATTCAAAATCAATTCCTGAAACAGAGAAAAATAATTAACACATAAAATTCGGGGATATTAAAATCGCGAAAGGGTATACAAATCTCAAAGCTCGAAATAAAATCGCGAAGGGATATAAAAATCTCTAATTTCGTACTGTAATTACAAAGGGATACAAAAATCTCTAGTCTCGAAATTTAATTGGGCGAAATCTCAAAGCTCGAAATAAAATCGCGAAGGGATATAAAAATCTCTAATCTCAAAATTTAATCGCGAAGTTATGCAAAAATCTCTAATCTCGAAATTTAATTAGACGGGCATAAAAATCTCGAATCGCGGAAGGATACAAAAATCTGTAATCTCAAAATTTAATCGCGAAGTTATGCAAAAATCTATAATCTCGAAATTTAATTGGGAGAGCATAAAAATCGCGGGTGGCTTTGCTCGTAAAAATTCGAGCAAAACGATACATTTTGTATCGTTCAAAAAAATACCTGTAAAACACAAGAAAATAATAGCGAGCATAGTGACAAAATGACTCTCCATCCTAAGATGGACAGCCATTGATAGTTCCCCTCTTCTTTGGCAACTTTGCCGGGGCTCTTCGGCATATAGCCTCTTCTCTCTTCGGCAAAGCCTCAGGAAAATCACGTGCGAATTTTTACAGTAACTCGGACATTCTTAGTTTTTAATTACATAAATTCTCAATTTCGCTATTAATCTTCATAAACAGATAGCAGACAATTTTATAGAAATAAAATTGCACCACTATGCATTTATTTCAATCGATAACAAAATCGAAATTTTATGTAATATGTATAAGTTAGTTTGGTAAGAAAAATAATTACTCAAAATAAAAGTACGACCAGCGATTCTTATAACGCGCTGGCCGTAAAAGAATGTCCGAACAGAATATTTCATTTCACTGCACTTCACTGCACAGTATACTTCATTTTTGCAGTCGGATCTAGAACCCGACTGCGACTTACAAACTAAAAGGCCTGACCTGAACGAACAATCGAGATCAAGAGATATTAAATAAATTCATATTTAATTTTTCTCTTCTCGATTTTTCGTAAACCCCCCAGATGCAAGCATCTCACGTGTGAGAGAGGAGGACAGAGAAACATGAAAGCTTGCTCTGGCCCTACCTACTTAAAACTAACTTATTCACACCAGAAGTAAACTACCTGCCTGCCTATCGCTATATTTAAAAAATTGCAAAGTCCATTCTCACAAAAACACACTCCACGGTTCTCACACATACCACCCGGGTGCAAAAAAGCCTAATCCTAAGGAGTACGTCCCGGGACGTCTCCGACACCCGAGTTCAATACTACATTCACACTCTAAGTTCATACCTTTTTGCTGAAATCGATCGACAATCGACAGTGAACATTGAACATATTTCATTTTCGTACTCTTTCGAATATTCAATGCAATATGCACATGTAATAATTTTAACTACTCGTACAATTTTCTAACTTAATCAATTTATATAACTTTGAAATGACTTGACTTGCATTTTGTATGCATTTTCAAATGACTCGACTTGCATTTTGTATGCATTTTTAAATAGAATTTTGCAAAATTTTAAAAATAAATCTACAGTTTAATCGACACAAGGTCCACGACCTAACCACACACACACGTGTAACTTGTGTCGATAATTCACTGTCAATTTGTCGATCGCCAAA